GCAGCAGTAGGACATTTATGATGGTCAACAGCAGGCAGGGCTTGTTCTCCTTCTGGGTGATGATGGGGCTGCTCTGCTTCTTCTCTTTCCAGCGGATCCCTGGCTGCCTGTGCCTCCCGTCTGTACTTGTCCTCTAGGCCCCAAGACAGCCTGTCCTCTGGGCTGCTGTCACTGCTGATGCTGGAGCAGAGGTTGGAGAAGGAATCCAGGCTCTGGGAGGCACCGGATATGATGCGCCTGCTGCTGCTCACCTCTTCCTGGGGGAGGAGGTGGAGCTCTTCTCCCTCCCGGGCTTTCAGGCCTAGTTGCTGTTCACCTTTCCGCTCATTGTCTCCGTCAGGGTCCCCCCAAGTGGTGTAATGCCAGGGCCCGCTTGCTGCGACCCTTGCTGCCACCACTGCCCAGCAGCCTAATTTAGCGGGGGAGCACATGGGGGGCAATTGTTAAAGGGAATGTCTAGTATTTAAAAAAATGTTTAGATATTCATGTAAAACAGATAAGCTTGATATAATTAATCTTACCAAAGTATGGTAATATTAAAAAAAAAAATATTAAAATATATTTAACAGCCTCCCGCCCACCATATAAGGAAATGACGGGCGCAAGGCGGTTCTCTCGTTCTGGGAGGACATCATATGACATCCTCCCACTCTAACCGTGCGTGCACGGCTCCAGGTGCGCGCAGTGTGGCGATCGGTGGTGCACTGTGTCCCTCGGACACAGCGGATCACCGATCAATGGAAAGAGCCGAAGATGTCAGCTCAGTCATGTGATCAGCTGTGTCCAATCACAGCTGATCCCATGTAAATAAGGAAATGACGGTTATCGGCATTTCTCTCCTCACGAGCCGTCATGCTGACAGCTCGAGAGGAGAGGAGATCCGGTAATCGGCATTCCTCAGAGGATACATGTACACTGATCATCAGGGCACTGAGGATCAGTGTGCCCTGATGATCAGTGTAGCGCCAGTAGTGCCACCTGTCAGTGTCCATCAAAGCCAGATGTCAGTGCTCATCAATGCCACCTGCCAGTGCATATCAGTTTTTTTTTTTTTTAAAGTCCGCAAACGTGCAGATAACGAAAAACCCGTAAGTGAATCACAAAAAAAAACACCACACGAAAAAGTGCACTTAGGGGTGTGCTTTGTCCTTCCCCCGAAGGGGATGGACCACTACCCTGATCCCCCGGGGCACGAAGCTCCTGACAGGGACAAGGTTCCCATTTGGTCCTCCTGGCCAAAAGGCCTGGTGGACCACCGTTCCTTGTGGCCAGCCGAAGCCAGCCACCCAGTACTTGGTCAGGGGGCTCTACCGAAGAGAAAACCCCCCAGGGACAGGGGAGGAAGGAACCAAAAGGCCACACATCCTCCCCCTAGACTTCAGGGCAGGCCTGAGGACCCACACCCTCCATCCTGTGAGAAAACACACACATAAGTAAGAAAAAGTGACAAAACGTGGGAGGTGTAATAAATTAAATAAATAGAAAATAAAAATGTGGTCGTGCCAAATAGTGCACAGACCAGGCCCTGAGGCCTGTAGCAAAAATTGCCCTGGTCCTAGCCAAAAGGCCTGGTCCTAAGGGCGCTGTGCAGGAAAAGTGGTAAACGCAGTGACCATGTGCCATTTTCACACTGTGGGGTCCCACACCCAGGTGTTACTAAGGGCACCCCTGAGGCGACCACTCAGGGGGCACTGGTTTGTGGACTTTCTGCCTGCCCAACCCCTGGCCAGACAAGGTAGATCCGATCGAATCAGGAGGAACTGGGTCCTTCCGGTCTCCTCGGGAGAATTACTCACGGGCCCCAGCTACTACTCATGGGCACCACGCTTTCTGTTCCCCTGGTACTAGCCATCCAGACCCCCATCATTCCAGCAGGGGTACTATACAACCAGCCATCCCCGCAAAGCTAGAATGGCCGTGGAGCACCCCCACTGGACACTGATAAGAACAGATACTACACTTGATCTTAGCCAAAAGGCCGAGAAGCCAGTGCACATCAGTGCCACATCAATGCCACATATCAAGGACGTCCTCCGGGTAGGCTCACCCCTTTGACAACGTGCTGGTACACGAAACGCGTCAGAGAGCCCACTGGAGTGATGTCACGCCGCACACGGCCGCGAGGAAGGCTGGCGGCCATCTTTATTCCAGATTGTACTATCATATGTGAGCCTATTATATTTACCTGGATCTTTTAACATACAAATCAATAAAACATACTACACTACACCGTGTTCCAAATTATTATGCAAATTCTATTTAGGTGTCACAAAGATTAAATATTTTGTTTTTCAGTTTAACTCATGGATGGCATTGTGTCTCAGGGCTCTTTTGATCACTGAAAACAATCTCGGACACCTGTGATAATTAGATTGGCCGGTGAGCCCAATTTAAGGAAAAACTACTAAAGGAGGGTGTTCCACATTGTTAAGCAGAGCACCATTTTCAAGCAATATGGGGAAGAAAAAGGATCTCTCTGCTGCCGAAAAGAGTGAAATAGTTCAATGCCTTGGTCGAGGTATGAAAACATTAGATATTTCACAAAAACTTAAGCGTGATCATCGCACTATTAAGAGATTTGTAGCTGATTCAGAGCACAGATGGGTTCGTGCCGATAAAGGCACATTGAGGAAGATTTCTGCCAGATCCATGCATCGGATCAAGAGAGCAGCTGCTAAAATACCATTATATTGCAGCAAACAGATATTTGAAGCTGCTGGTGCCTCTGGAGTCCCACGGACATCAAGGTGTAGAGTCCTCCAGAGTCTTGCAACTGTGCATAAACCTTCTATTCAGCCACCACTAACCAATGCTCACAAGCAGAAACGGCTGCATTGGGCAGAAAAATACATGAAGACTAATTTTCAAACAGTCCTGTTCACTGATTAGTGCCGTGCAACCCTGGATGGTCCAGATGGATGGAGTAGTGGATGGTTGATGGACGGCCACCCTGTTCCAACAAGGCTGCGACGTCAGCAAGGCTGTGGTGGAGTCACGTTTTGGGCCAGAATCATGGGAGCAGAGCTGGTCAGCCCCTTTAGGGGCCCCGAAGGTGTAAAGATGACCTCTGCAAAGTATGTGGAGTTTATGACTGACCACTTTCCTCCCTGGTACAGAAGGAAGAACTATGCTTTCCGTAATTGTCAATGTCCTACCTTTCCTCAGAGGTTGTGCGGCTCCATGTGCTGGCATCCATCTTAGGTTTCTGCAAAGCATGGTGGGAGCTTTTTATGCTTTCAGGCCTCTGCGGTCCCTCCCCCAGAGGGGTGTGGTTGATCACATTTAAGCCTGTTGTCTGCACTTGCTCTTTGCATTCGTGTCCTGTATGTTCCCTTGCAGCAAGCTCTTGTTCTGTTCTCATTGCTCTCCTGGTAACCGACTCGGCTTGGACAAGACTATTCTCTGCTTTAACCCTTTACCTGACCTCCCGTTGCTGAACCCGGCCTGTGACCTGAGTATTCTTTGCCTACCGTCTTGTACTGTCTGCTCTGTTGTTATAGACCCGGCCTGTCTGACCACGCTACATGTTTTCCCATCTAGCTCCCACCAGCTGTACGCCATTGGCGGCAGTCATTACCGCAGCTGGGGTTACTCGGGGGCCGCGACCTGGTCTCAGGCTGCGTCAAGTCCATCCCCACCATCACGGGCCCTGGTGAAGGGTAGCCTGGGGCTTAGACTCCGCACCCTGAGGGACTCTGGTCTGTGGGTAGTGGCTGTCGTCAGTCGCTGCGTGACCTTACCATAGGCCCGCCTGCACATTCCATTGCTCCTTCCCCTGACAGTAATAAAATCATCTTCATGCATGACAATGCACCATCTCATGCTGCAAAGAATACCTCTGCATCAATGGCTATTATGGGGATAATAGGAGAGAAAGTCATGGTGTGGCCTCCATCCTCCCCTGACCTCAATCCTATTGAGAAGCTTTGGAGCATCCTCAAGCAAAAGATCTACGAGGGTGGGAGGAAGTTTACATCCAAACAGCAGCTCTGGGAGGCTATTCTGACATCTTGGAAACAAATTCAAGCAGAAACTGTCCACAAACTCACAAGTTCAATGGATGCAAGACTTGTGAAGCTGCTATCAAATAAGGGGTCCTATGTTAAAATGTAAACGTGACCTGTTAAAATATTTAAAAAGTTAAAATGTTGTTAAAAGTTTGATTTCAGTAAATATGCTGCAAACACAACAAATGACAATTTTCAGTTCTTTACAACCTATAAAGTGTTTTGAAACTTATTGTGCCTAATAATCTGGAACAGAACATTGTAAGTTTTTTATGTTAAAAAAAAATCCTGTTATCATTAGGAGGTTTGTTCAATAAAATTTGAATTGTACTTTAATTTTTTAATAGTTGATAACATGAGAATTATGCTGACTGTTATTTACATCAATTATTTAGGTAAATGAGAAAAATATAATTGGCATAATAATTTGGAACACGGTGTATTGGCACCTATTTGTTCTCTGCCTTGTTCATTACGAGCCCTATAAGGTGGAGCCATCTTTGGATCTGGAGCCATTACTTGGAGCTGTTTCTGATGGGTATGTGAGCGGAGTGTGCCCCCTGTGTGTGAGCAACATCATCCTGAGTGTCCACATTTGAGCCTGATGACCCCGCAGCCCTGTACCAGACCTAGATGACCCTATTATAGGATATACATATAATGCGCATTTTATATGTGCTTCTGGTAAGTGCATAACCTTACTGGCTCTTGGCACCTACAATTACCAGCACGGAGCACGGATCACCCCGTTTATGGACTGCTATATTTGTTGATTGGACTGTTCACATTTGTCACTCAACTATTTGGCTTGTATCTCATTGACGCGTCGCTATAAGACGTAACCATCACTTCACTATTTCTGCGCCCTCAGTAGCACTCACTATTTACATATATATATAATTTTACCATTATTATTATTGGTTATCTTATGTTCTTCAACGCTGAATATTTATTTCTTTTTACATATCAGTGCTTACCAATGCACATCAATGCTACATATCAGTGCCCATCTGAGCTGCCTTTCAGTGCCACCTATCAGTGCCAGTCAGTTCCACCTATCAATGCTGCCAATCAGTGCTGCCTATCAGTGTCAGTCAGTGCCGCCTATCAGTGCGCAACAGTGCCGCCTATCAGTGCCAGTCAGTGCCATCTATCAGTGCCGCCTACCAGTGCCGCCCATCAGTTCCATATATGAGTGCTGCCTTTCAATGCCCATCAGTGATACCTGTCAATTCCCATCAGTGCCACCTACCAGTGCCCCCTCATCAGTGCCCATCAGTGCCACATATCAGTGCCCACCAGTGCAGCCTATCAGTGCCCATCACTGTAGCCTCATTAGCGCACATCAGTGAAGGAGAAAAATCACTTATTTAAAAAATTTTATAACAAAAACTAATAAAAAGTTTTTTAAAAAAATTTCAGTAGTTTTTGGTTTGTTTAGCAAAAAATAAAAAACCCAGAGGTGATTAAATACCACCAAAAGAAAGCTCTATATGTCTCAAAAGAATTATAAAAATTTCATATGGGTACAGTGTTTGCGTGACTGCGCAATTGTCATTCAAAGTGTGGCCTGGGTAGGAAGGGGGTATAAGTGCCCTGTAGGCAAGGGGTTAAATATTTTAATTATTATTATGTACACAAGAATAACATATTTGCACACTTAGGTTCTGCTTCCTGTTTTGCAGTTCTACACAGTAGGTGTGATATACTGCTCCTTCCCAGAAAGTAAGTTTACAGTGTGTATTTAGAAAAAATTTGCAGAGGTATTCAAACTGTGAAACATCGCATGTTCATACATTCTGTGCAGATCGGGGCATAAATGAATGTTATTGGGCAATTTTTTTTTCAGATCGATTGTTAATATTCATACAGAATAGCGTGAATGAGGAAAATACCACATATTGGTCAATAGATGGAACTGATGATCACAACAAAAAAGCACTTTTTTCTTATGATCATTAGCTCCATCTACTGCCGATAATTCAGTATTTTCCTGATTCACTCTATTCTGTATAAAGAATAACATTTGAGCCTTATAACATTAGCTTTTGCCCCCATTCGCACAGAACAAATTTACATACAGTTTCGTGGGATGAATAGCTCTGCTAGTGTTTTTTATAAATACACGCTATGAGTCAGTGGATTCATTAGGAACAATTCACTCCCTCTGCTCCATATACCTTTGATTAGGGATATAAAGCAGTGAAGCAGTGTCACTGTGACAGCAAACCTACTTCGACTCAAGTGGCTAATCTACAAATTCCCAGATTTTTAAAAATAACGAAAATAAAGAAGAGCAATCAAGTATGTGAAAGTGACATAAAAAACACCCAAAGTGTATATATAACCAAAACCTTTTTTTTATAGTTTTGGATATAGTGGGAAAAGGTTTAAAACCCTTGCCAATTGATTTTTTTTTTTTCGGTTTATGTACAATTGGGGAAATTGCCCTTTATTTCCTGTCCCTAAGACACAACAGGAAATTAGAGGAAATGCCAAAGTGGGGTCTAACTCTTCCCTACTCTATGAAAAACTAAAAAAAAGCAATTGTATCTGACTACAAATTACTAATGAGGTGGTGCTGTATATGGTCCCTCAATGTCTGGTGAAGTTTAAGTCTGCAACCTGCTTTAGGGGATGCCAACTGCCAGAACCTCTTATGCACATATGATGGGAATTCCCTAAAATTAAAAGGCGTTGGACCAAAGTATACCAATTAGTATGTACCTTATTAGGAAAGTTCGTAAGTCACCAAAGGAAGCATTGCTAAAGCCACCTGACTGTACCAAAAACTAACCAATCAACCCACCAACCAACCAAAAATTGCCTTCTGACATTCCCCTTTGCTGCAGGAAAACAGACCCTGGTGAAAGTTTGGTGGTCTTCTATCCTGACAATAGCTAAACAAAACAAGTAGTGGTACCTAATTAATGAAAAAAGAGCAGCCATACTAAACAACAGTACATCCGAATGAGCATGGTTTCCATGGATAGAGTACTGCTCCCTAGAGATTTTGATAGATCTTTACTACTCTTGTTGGTACATGGTGGCTGTCCTCTGCTATGTAGCCCAGTGGAGCTTGTTCCCTAGCATTCCCCCTCCCATTTCTATCCTATTTTCTTCTTCCATACTTCGGCACTAGCTTTTTGACTGTAAAAATCTTTTTCTAACAGTACACAAATTAAACCTTTTCTGTTGCAATTTGCATGTGATAGACAAGTTCAGTGATATAACTCTTCATAATTTACTTCCACCCTAAACTTGAGAAGGTAGGACCAGTTTTTTATTATTATTATTATTATTACATCGAGTTTATATAGTGCCAAAGGGTTTGCTCAGCGCTGTACAATAGAGGGGGGGACAATACATGGCACAGTACAGCAACAACAAACAGCATACGAGGGGTTAGAGGTTCCTACTCTTTCGAGCGTTCAATCTAGGAGGGAGGGGGTAGTGGTACAGGAGGAAGTGGCTGTGGGGGATGGAGTGGTAGGAGGAATGAAGGAGAGCAGCTGTTAGGTGAGGGTGGCGTAGGCTTCCCTGAAGAGGTGGGTTTTCAGGGAGCGCCTGAAGGTGAGGAGGGAAGGTGACAGTCTGATGGATTGGGGTAGTGAGTTCCAGAGGATGGGGGAGGACCTGGAGAAGTCTTGTAATCATGCGTGGGAGGAGGAGACCAGGGAGCAAGATAGAAGGAGGTCCTGTGAAGAGCGAAGGGTACGGGTAGGGCGGTACCTGGGAATCAGGTTTGGTGAGGTAGTTAGGGGCAGCGTTGTGAATGGCTTTGTAGGTCAAAGTGAGTAGTTTGAATTTGATGCATAGGGCAATAGGGAGCCAGTGGAGGGATAGGCAGAGGGGGGTGGCAGAGGTGGAGCGGCTGGTGAGGTGGATGAGTCTGGCCGCTGAGTTCAGGATGGTCTGAAGCGGGGAGAGCTTGCACTGGGGTAGGCCGGTGAGGAGGGAGTTGCAGTAGTCAAAGCGTGAGATAATCAGGGAGTGTACAAGCAGTTTAGTTTTAAACAGTGATCCATTGATACTCCTCTCCTTATGGTTTTGATTGCAAAGCTATGGATCTGAAAATTATTTATTTTAATAGATTTATAGATCAATTGACCAAACATTGGAATTGAAATGAAGATATTGTGCTGTATTGTAAGTCGGCCATACATAGATCGAAATTCTGCCGGTTCATTAGGGACCAGTTGAATTTCGATTCATGTATGGGCATCCTGATTGTGCAGAAGTTAATTTAGCCAGCAGCATTGATCATTGTATTCTGACGGCTCCCCGCCATCTAAACACAATAGCACAGCTGGAGCATTCGATGTGGATGGGGGAATCGAATAAACTTTTTTTTTGTTCAACCAACTGGTTGAACGGAAAAAATGATGAATGTATGGGCTGCCTAAAACCACTGAACCATATTTACCATTGTAAAATCAAAAGCAAAATAATACAATGTACACAAGCTGTTTGCCTTTAAAAAAATATATTTAAACAAAAAACCTATAAAAGAAAAGGTTTGCCTAGAGATACTCCAACAGAAACCAAAAACCAGCGCTTGAATCTTTTTGCTGCACTGAGAACACGGAATCTAGTACTCGCTGAGGTGCCGCCCTTGATAGATCGGGGAATCTTGATAATAGCAGAAAAGAGCAAAACAGGGCGCACTCTCCTCGTGCATTAACGTGATAATAAGACATTTATTATAAAATTACAAATGCATACTCACAAACCAAAAAGGTCATGAAAACAGAGACAAGGAGTCAAAGAGGCCAGTCGTGGACAGTAAAGGTCTTCTGGTAAAAGTGCTAACGCGTTTTGGGAGTCGGACTCCGTTACTCTGAGCAGTAAATTGATTTTGTTGCTCTGAGGAAGGAAGTTCGACTCCCAAAACTCGTTAGAACTTTTACCCGAAGACCTTTACTGTCCACGACTGGTATCTTTGACTCCTTGTCTCTGTTTTTATGACCTTTTTGGTTTATGAGTATGCATTTGTAATTTTATAATAAATTTCTTATTATCACAGTAATGCACGAGGAGAGTGCGCCCTGTTTTGCTCTTTTTTGCCTAGAGATACACTTTGACACTGCAAAAATCATTCAAAATACTGTATGTTTTAACAGAGTATTGAAAATACTCTAAACTTTCATTTTTAGCTCTGGTTCACACCTGTGTGACAATTGGTGCGATTTCATGTGTGGTTTTCTTTCATCTGTTTAACTTCATTTAACAGATGTCAATACAAGTCGTAACAAAGTCGCACAAAAATAGTGCGGGAAACTTTTTTAAAGTCAGCAATTCGCAGCGATTTGAATGATTCCATTGCCGCAAATGCAGTGCGACTTAACTTGCAACTTTGAATTGTCAAGTCGCATGACAAATCGCACTGGTGTGAACCAGGGCTAACTGCAGCAAATGCGTGTGTATTCCTGTACTGTAATCTGATGTAGAGCTGATGAATGCAACAGCACATGAGGTATGAAAACACACAAACTACTATTCTATCTCTGCTTCCACGTATAAACAAAAAGTACTAATGTGTAAAACAAGCCAAACCACATACATTCTCTCATTTAAAGGTCCAGTAATTGGTACTATTCTCTGTAATAGGAATTTGCTGGAAGGTTTGCATTTTGCAATAATGTACAGCTAATAATAAACTCTATTGACTTAATCCCAAAATGTTGTGTATCCTATGTCTATCATTAACAGTAATGTTGGCCAGCCTACAGAAGAATAGGACAAAAACAGAGTTATAAAACATGCAGACTAACAGGTCCAAGGACATACTAGAGAGTCACATTGCACTGTTATTAGTTTCATATTGGAAGAGTTTGCCTCTGTTATAGATTATCTTTGTGGATTCTGTTCACAGGCTTCTGATTCTACATGCACCTGAAGTACCCATTCACCCTGAAGGAAAATTTCCATTCCTTGGGATTTTAATGAGTATTTCCCTAGGGCCTTTGCTCCAAGCTAAGGTGCAATAGAAAGTCTAGTGTACTTTTGCAAAGCTGATTTACACATGGCTGATGTGACTCCATTGAGCACGGCTTTTATAATCTAGACGGCTGAACTAATGTGTTATTACAGCATTTAAGGGCTTGGCTTTGGGGTTTTTTCATGCTTATAAACATACGTCAATCCCGGGATTTCTCACTTCAAAAATCTATTTCAAAGGCAAATGTGAGAGTGGAAGACATCTGTAGGACAGTGGAAAAAATATCAGCTTTAAATAAATATATAACACAGGCTTATTATTTTTATTTTCTGACACAGACAGGGACAGCTCAGCCAAAAGTGGGACCTCACTTAAAGGTATAGTACATTGTATTTTACATTTCTTCATGCATGAAAATTGAACTCCAGACATAAAGTTAAATAACCA